AAGGGCGAAAGGCCCGACGGACAAAAACACTGAGCCAGAGGCCTTACCAAGATCACGAGCGAGCCACGAATCCAGCTATCTATCTATCTATCTATCTATCTATCTATCTATACGATATGAAATTCGGTCAAGCCCGCGCACAGCCTCTTCATGCTCGCCGTCGGTTTTGTGGTCGCCCTTTCCACCTCCTCATCATCGAGAGAGCGTGATCCACCGCCGCTTTACTGTGGAAAATTCCCCCCCCCTCTTCCTCCGTAACCCTGGGGTCCCCCCCTCTACCTCCGAAAATCCCCCCCTCCCCCCTGCTGGAACCCCCCGCCCCCTCCCCCCCCTTCCTTCCCCTCAGCAAAACCCCCCCACCCCTAACTCCCCCCCCCTCCGGAAAACCGGGGGGGGTCACTACCAGTTCGAACCCCCCCTCCTCCTCCTCCTCCGGAAAACCGGAGGGGTCACTACCGGTTCGAACCCCCCCCTCCCCCCTCCCCTGCACCCCCCCGGAAAACCGGGGGGGAGTAACTACGGGTTCGACCTCCCCCCCAAAAAAAACTGGGGGAAGGTCACTACCGGTTCGAACCACCAACCTCCCCTAGAAAACCGGGGAAGGGTCACTACCGGTTCGAACCCCCCCCTTCCAGAAAACTGGGGGGAGTCACTGCCGGTTCGAACCCCTCCCCCCCCTCCCCACGCTCACCGCCGGCAAACGACTCCTGGGTCCCTACCACCATCCGCACCACATCCCCCACCACCTGCTGTCCCCAGTACCACTGCCCTCACCACCACTGTCCCCACTGTTCCCACCACCGTCCCCACTGTCCCCACCAGTGCCCCCACCACTGTCGCACTGTTCGCACTGCCCCCACCACTGTTCCCACCACGGTCCCACTCTCCCCACTTTCCCCACGGCCCCAACCACTGTCCCACTGTCCCCACTATCCCACCGTCCCCGCCGCTGTCCCACTAAGCTGTACAACTGTTCCCACCACTGTCCCCACCACTGTCCCCATTGTACCTCTGTCCCGTTGTCCCACCGCCGTCCTCGCCACCGCCCTCACCAGTGTCCCACTGTGCCCACTACATTCCCACTGTCCCCACACCAGTGTCCCCACCACCATCGTCCCCACTACTGTCCCAGTCCCCACCACTGTCCCACTGTCCCCACTGTTCCCACCATTGTCCCCGCTGTCCCCACCAGTGCCCCCACCAGTCTCACTGTCCCCACTCTCCCCACCATTGTCCCACCACGGTCCCACTCTCCCTACTTTCCCCACGGTCCCCACTACTGTCCCACTGTCCCCACTGTACCCACCGCTGTCCCACTGTCCCCGCCGCTGTCCCACTGTGATGTCCCACCGTCCCCACTGTCCCCACCACTGTCCCACTGTCCCCACTGTCCCCATCACTCTCCACACTGTACTACTGTCCCACCACTGTCCTCACCACCGCCTTCACCACTGTCCCCACCACTACCGTCCCCACCACTGTCCCACTGTCCCCACCACTGTCCCGCTGTCCCCTCACCACTGTCCCCACCACCACCGTCCCCACCACTGTCCGCACCACTGTCCCACTGTCCCCGCACCACTGTCCCCACCACCACCGTTCCCACCACTGTCCCAGTATCCCCACCATTTTCCAACTGTCCCGAGGAGCGGGAGTCGTCTGCCGGCGGCGAGAAGGGGGGGGGTTCGAACCGCTAGTGACCCCCCCCCCGGTTTTCGAGGGTGGGGGGGGTTCGAACCGGTAGTGACCCCCCCCTACTTCATGATGGACTGGGGGTGGGGGAGGGGTTCGAACCGGTAGTGCCCCCCCATCGAGGGGGGGGGGACGGGTTGGGAACTCCCAGTGACCCCCACCGGTTTTCCGCCAGCAGCGGCAGAACACGCTCTTTCTCATCATCACATCATCACCATCATCATCGTAAGTATCACTACCACCATCATCACATATTCTGCGTTGCCACCACCAACATCATTATACGCGGCGTTGTCATCAGCACTACGGTCCGAATTTCCACCACCAAAAAACTCATCCCCACCACCACTACCACCATCCTCATCCTCATCATTACCGTCACCATCGACACCACCACCACCACCTTCATCATCATCATCATCATCATCATCATCATCATCATCATCGCCGCCGCCACCACCATCAACTCCACCATCATCACCACCACCATCATAATCATCATCATCATCGCCATCGCCACCACCATCATCATCACCATCATCACCATCATCATTACCATCACAATCACAATCACCATCACCATCATCATTATCGTCCTCGGCGTCTTCTTACTCATCAACGTCGTCATGATTACCCTCGCCATCTTCATCATCATGGCCGTCATCACCATCGTGACCATCACCAGCATCACCACCATCATCACTATCACCACCACCAACAGCGTCGTCGCACCCTCATCGCCACAACCATCATCAACACCACCACCACCATTCCCACCATCATCATCACCACCATACCACCACTATCACCATCACCAACACCATCAATATCACCATCATCAGCATCACCTAAATCATCGTCGTCATCACCTCTCATCATCACCATCGTCATCATCATCATCATCATCATCATCATCATCATCATCATCATCATCATCATCATCATCATGATCATCATCATCGCCATCATCATCACCATCATCATCAGTCTCATCATCATCATCATCATCATCGTCATCAACAGCATCGTCATTGCCATCGCCACCATCACCAGCATCATCATTACCGTGGTCATTGGTACCACCATCATCATGAGCATCACCAGCACCATCACCATAATCATCATAACAACCACCACCATCACCATCACCATCACCATCACCGTCACCAGCATCATCATAATCATAATCATAATAAGCATCGTCGTCGTCATTATTATTATTCTTATTATTATTACTATCATCATCATCATCAGCATCATCATCATCATCATCATCATCATCATCATCATCATCATCACCCTCCTCCTCCTCCTCCTCCTTCTCCTCCTCCTCCTCCTCCTTATCATCATGCTCGTCACCTCAAGCCACGCGGCGTCTGGATCCTCTCCTTGTCGCCTCTCGGCAAACCCTCTGGTTCCGACACAGAGAACAAATCTGCGCATACCTGGACAATGGGAGAAGTACCTAGGAGACGCGCCAAGGGACGGGTCAGGGGATGCGCCAGGGAACGTGCCAGGGACCGGGTCATGGATGTGTGAATGACGCCCCGCAGGATGCGCTCGGGGGACATCCCACGGGACGCGCCAGAGGACGTGCCAAAGAACGCGTCATGGGACGCGCCAGGGGACGTGGGATGGGACGCGCCGCCAGGGGACGCGCCAGGGAATGCGCGCCAAGGAACGTGGCAATGGACGCGCTAGGGAACGAACCAGAAAACGTGCCAAGGGATGTGACATGGGACATGGGACGCGCCACGGGACGTACAGCTCAACGCGCCAGGTCGCAGGGCCACGGTCCCTCATGAAGTGCCCTGAATCTGCGCCACCAGAGCCTGCTGAGATGCCCCGCTATTTGTGAAGGATGTCATGCTAGGGGCGCGCCATCCTCGAGCGGGCACGCAGGGGAACTCATCTTGGGGGTGGAAGTTCCTATGCCTCCAGACGCACCATGAGTGTTTCACTAGCACTATAGCCCCTCCAGACAGATCTGCTGATCTCGGGGCCTGAACTCCGCCAAGGCTACAGGTGCGAGATGTCAGATTGGGATCCCCGCTCGAACGGGAGCCCTCCCGGGCTCCGATAACTCGCTTCCGTGCTGATAGCACCTTCATCGCCTTACCCTTCCCTCGTCCTTATCGCTGTAAGTTTGAGCGTGTGTTGCGTGTTGCCTTTTTTATCCAAACTCGACAATGCTTCTTATAGGGTTTACACGGAACCGACAGCCAGTCTCTTACAAAGGGAAGGCGGGTCTCCGGACTAAATGGTGTATCACGAACCCGATGTGGGGGGCGCACTTTCCGTGAGCTGGCTCGCACGGGATGCACTTTGAGGCCCGTTTCTGTCGAAAGAAACTCCGCAGGTGCTCCCCAATCAAGGTGCCAGGGGAATGTTACACAACTGCAGCAGAAACCAGGCCCCCTCAGACCCTTTTCCGGAAAAGACGTCGTCTCTTTTCGCGACGCCTGGAGGTCTAGGCTGGGGCATCTGTCTTCGGTTTGAGATCAAGGCGGGACCATCCCTGGACACCATCACGACTCCGACAAGTTTTTCGAGCCGCGCTCATCCGTAGCCGGCGCAAGGGACGCCCACGAGCCCCACCCCGCCCCAGAAGCGAGCATTGCTGAAGTCCTCCCTCTTCCAAATAGTGGGCCACAGGTTCCTCCTCCTTCTCCTCCTCCTCCTCATCATCCTCCTCCTCCTGCTCCTCCTCCTGCTCCTCCTCCTCCTCCTGCTCCTCCTCCTCCTCCTCCTTCTCCTCCTCCTCATCATACTCCTCCTCCTCCTGCTCCTCCTCCTTCTCCTCCTCTTCCAAATACTGGGCCACAGGTTTGAAACTCTTGAAGACTTGAGGGGAAGGAGGCTGGTACACTCTGCCTCCAACTCTGTGCTGCTCTTGTAGATGCAGGTAAGTATACATACAGTCATCCATAGACATGTATGTGTACATATGTATACGCTGACATGCGCGGTGACGCTGGGGTAAGGTTGGCTGCCCGCCCCAACAGTAGTTTGGGGATCAAGGGGGCAATATTGCACGCACTGGAACAAGGTGGTCAGACATAGCAAGTTCACGTCGCGATGGCGTCCGCGTTTTTGAAAAACACACGCGCGGATTATTCAACTTCGAACGATGGCGGCTTCCCGCTGTCGCAGATCGCTCGATGTCGGGCGATTATGTGCCATGGGCGGCGTTCAACCTTGAACGCCCGCGGTGAGGTCGCCGCCACGCCAACGCGGCGCGAACCTGCCGTGCGATCCCTCCTTCCTGTCGCCGGCATCCCCTCTGGCATCCCAGCTGCAGGCTGGGCCTGCCACTCGCGCAGCAGCGCGTTGACGTCGATCTGCTCCTCCTCCTCGGCGTCCTCCTCGCCGTCGTCCGCGGCGGCGGCGGCCTTGCCTCCGCAGGAAGGAGAGCTGGCGAGGCCAGCAACGTTCGGAACGGCGAGGCGGGGACACGGGTTATGTCGGGCGTGTCCCCCTACAGTCGGGGCGTTGACCGAACGAACCCTAAATAAGGAGCGAGGCTCCTTTTTTCCATAAGTTGAACTTCGATCTCCCATCGAAATCAGAAGGAAAACCTGAGGCAAGCTGCGAAACAACCAAGGAACACCGAGCCCCTCCCCAACGAACAGGGTTCCTTCTTCAGCGCCCCGACTGTACATGGGGATGTTCGACGTTTTTTTTTTGTTGTTTTTCTTCTTTTTTAACCCCCCCCAATGTTTTGCTTACTTCTATATAGATGCATATATATATATACATATATATATATATATATATATATATATATATATATATGCACATACCCCCAAAGTGTCCCCAAAAGGTAGCAAAAAGACTCAAAAAAACAGTCCCCAGACTATTTTTTGGACTGTTCTTGAATCTTCCCCCAAAATGCCCCCAAAAGGTAGCAAAAATAATCAAAACGTAGTCCCCAGACTATTTCTTGGACTGCTCTTGAATATTCCCCCTGCAGAGGGGCCGGCCCGCCTCAAGACGCGGGAGGCGAGAGCGGGGTCCGTCCCCTCCCAGCGCCGAGCACGGCATCCCCCACGCCTGGGCCCTCGCGCCCGCCCCGAGGGCCCAGCTCGGAAGTGGGGGCCCTCCACGGGCGCGCGAGGAGGAGGAAGAGGAGGAGGAGGAGGAGGAGGAGGAGGAGGAGGAGGGAGGAGGGGGAGGGGGAGGAGGAGGGGGAGGAGGGGGAGAGGAGGGGGAGGAGGAGGAGGAGGGGGAGGAGGGGGAGGAGCGAGCAGGGCATCACCATCATCGTCGTCATCACCATCGCCAGCACCATCTCATGATCACCAGCACCTGCACACAGGCCCGAGCATATCCATATCCACTACCTGCAGAAGTCCCGGTGAACGATCCCCCAGGCGGTGGTGATATTGGAAGTGGGGGCCCTCCACGGCCCGCGGGGTGGTCGGAAGTGGGGGCCCTCCACGGGTGCGCGATGCAGCCCAGGCTCTGGCGGCGTTCTGGCCTCGGGTCGAGCAGGTCCCCCCGCAGGCGGATCTTGGACGGGAAGAAAAAAGTAGCCCAAAAATCCACACACACACACCACACACACAAAAAAAAGGTCCAAGAATAGTCCGAACAAATTGTCCCCATACTTTTTTTTGTTGGGGCTGTTTTCGGACACTCCTCTTCTCGAGGGACGCGCCCGACTTCACTCTGGCCGCGCGGCGCCCGCGCGGCCCCAGGAGGGAGGAGGAGGGAGGAGGGAGGAGGGAGGAGGGAGGTGGGAGGAGGCAGGAGGGAGGAGGGAGGAGGAGGAGGTGGAGGAGGAGAAGGTGGAGGAGGTGGAGGAGGAGGAGGAGGAGGAGGAGGAGGAGACGGATGAGGTGGAGGAGGAGAAGGAGGAGGAGGAGGAGGAGGAGGAGGAGGAGGAGGAGGAGGAGGAGGAGGAGGAGGAGGACGGGTCGCCTGAGCCCTTGGGAGAAACCCTCCAGCGGAGTCCCCTCAGCGCGCGCAGGTCGCCCCGAAACGATTCCAGCGACGCGCGCGCGTGGCCGGCGTCGTCCGCAGCGCAGCGCCGGCCGCCTCGCACGCCCCAGCGGGAGCCAACGGAGGAAGGCTCGCCGCGCGCGCGCCGCAGGCGGCTGCCTCGCGCGGCGGCCGTCGTCTGTGGTCGAGGTGCAGCTGGGCAGCTGGCCCAGTCGGCAGCGTCGCACGGGCCCGGCGGACTTTGTAGAGGGCAGAGAATCCACCCCGAGAAGAACCACCCCGACGAGCGAAGCCGTTTATAGTAAACGCGCCCGAGGGAGGAATCGAACAGGGCGGGGCTGTTTGGGAAACACCCAGGGCCGTTTAGTAAACGTCAACTGTCGGGTCCGGGTGGTTTTTCCTCCCTTAACTCTGGGCCCCAGCAGGCCCGCGCGGCAATCCGCCGCGAGCTGGGTCGGCCAGGCGACGGGGCGGGGCCGCCCGGACGCTCCAGGGATCCGCCCCGCTTTTAACGTCAGGAATCGCATCGCGCCGCCGCCGTAGATCGTCGGCGTAACCAGGCCCTGGAAGTGGTCCGCCACGTATGTCTGCCCAGCGCCCAGCGGTGGAATCTGCAGAGCCATCTGCACGTCTATGAGCACGGCCTCCGCGCCACAACTGTCGTTCATTTCGCAAGCGACGGCGCTCCCTTCGCTCGTGAGAAGCACTGCGAAGCAGAATCCAGCGGCCACGTGCGTGTCTTTCTAGCCCACAGGGGCCGCTGGGATGTCGCAATGCCGGGCGCTGCTGTCGCTGGCGGCTACGGCCGTGCCGTCGCTCCTGGAGAGCACTGCGTGGCGCTCTCCAGCGACCGCTTGAGCGTAGGTGGGCCTCCGGGGCAGATCCGGGATGGCCCTCCCCGCGAGGAGGAACTCAGCAAATGTTCTTTTGTTGCAGGGGGGGTACTTTGAAGGGGCCCCAGGACACACAAATAAATACACACTAATAAAATATTCCCCATATTTTGTAATATTTTCTAGGTTTTTGTTTTCCCTCCACTTCCCATATTTTTCATATTTTCTGGGGAATCGACGATTAATTGTGTCTGTGTTTTTTTTCCCCACCTGATACTTACTTGGCGAAACAGCGGCCCCAGCGCTCCCGATCAAGACAGTGCGGCACACGGAGGCTTCGACTTGCGTGTAGACGAGGTTGGAGGAGAAGAGGCCGCAGCGAGCCTGGAGGACGAAACGACGTCAGAGGCAACAACTTTGAGAGGTGCGCGCGGATTTCTTGGATCGATGCTGAACCCCCCTCTGTGGCGTGCGGAGCGCGCCAGGGGCGGCACCGACGGCGCCGCCACGGGACTCCAGCGCCGACTCGGGCCAGCATGAAAGTGACGAGACCCAATCTGAAATTTCACGCGAACTCCCGCTGCGAGCATCCGCGAAAACTGGACCGTGGCAATCCAGGACGCGCTCGTCAAAAAGCGTCGGCAAGCTCGAGTTCCGGCGTACTCCAGATTTCGTAATAAAAGGGAGGGGGTCTGGACCCTCCAAGACAAGCCGTTTCAGACCCCCCCCGTGGGAGAACCCTCCAAAACATCGTCCCCAGACCCCCCCAGGCCCTCCAAGATAGCCTGGAAGAGACCCCCCCCGAAATGAGGCCCCCCTCCCTTTATTACGAAATCTGGAGTACTCGAGTCTTTCGTTTCCCCAAATCCTGAAAGCCGAGAAGAGCCAAAGGCGCACAGAAGCCTCGACCCTCAGTCCTGGTGGCCGACAGTCTGCCGTCGCTCGGACGACCATTCCCCGCGCATTTGTCGGTGTTGCGCGTGCGCTTTTGCCAGATGCTCCAGGATGCTCCTCGATGGCCCTCGCCGAGACACGATGCACGCGGCCGAGCGATGCCAAGACAGGGAGGGCAGCGCTCCAGTCGACTTGACGGCGGCGGCCCGGCCCGGCGACCGACGGCGGCGGCGGCGACAGCGCCAAGCAGCGGAGGCGAAGATGCAGCGGCCGACGGCGGCGGAGGCCGGCCTGGGCGGACCTCAGCGTCGGGTGCTGCTAGAAGTGCCCCTGGCCCCAGGTGCCCCCAGCTTTCCGCTCCACTTTGGAGCCCCTGGGGCCCTCTGGCCCTCGTGAGGGGTGCCCTGGAGGCCGTCTGGGCCACCCCGAGAATCCACGGGGTACATTGGGCCAGGGGTTCTTCTACCCGATTGTACTTGGTCGGTCATCCCGTGGATGGTTTGTGAGCTCCGTTCGGTGCTTCAGGGGACGCCCCGCCCTCGCCGCGCAGGTCTGCTCTGACGGCCGAGCGCCTGCGGCAGAAGCCCAGAGCTCACTCGCTCTTTGAGAGAAGCGGAGCAAGCTGGCGTGATCCTTGGCGAAGCTACCAGAAGTGTTCTGTTATCTGGGGGTACATGGGGCCAAAGGTACTTCCAGCAGCACCCGACAGCGGCCGCCGGCAACAACCGACAGGCGTGGCGGCGGCGCAGCGGCAGCCGACAGCGGCCAGCGGCGGCGGCCAGCACGGGCGGCAGCGGGCGCGGCGAGCCTCCGCCCTTCTTGCCGCCGCCCTTCTTGCCGCCGCCCTTCTTGGCGGCGAGAGCCGTGCGCGGCTGCCGCCTGCAATGGGGGAGAGGGGCGCCACGCCACGCACGCATCCAGGCTGAGGGAAGAAGAGGAGGAGGAGGAGGAGGAGGAGGAGGAGGAGGAGGAGGAAAAGGAGGAGGACCAGTGTAAATCCACGACGCATCAACGATGTTGCAATAAGCCCTTCCTCCAAATTCCATCTTCATAGTGCCCTGCAGGAATGTCTTTGCATTGTGGGGAGTGCCCTCCTGTTGGAAGACAACCTTCTGATAATCCTTGACCGCGCCAAGACACCATTCCTGGGACCTCAACGTCGGGAATCAACGTGATTGTTGCGTCCTGGCTGTCCGAGATCGTACCAAAACACCACTCACTCCTGAGATCTCAAAACTGCGGATCAACGTGACTGTTGCGGCCTGACTCCTGCAGTGCGCCTGAACATCATTCCTGGGACTTCAACCAGAGGAACCGCTTGAGCTGCTGCGAACTTCTAAAACTAATGTGCGCAGAGCTAAAGCAAGAACCACATTCAAAAAACAGGCGGCCCTCCATACTCGAAGCTGTTGTGAACTGTCAATGCAAATGTGCACGGCGCCGAGGCGAGAGCAACATTTTGAAGACGGTCCGCCCTCAGTCCTTGTAGCCACTGCGACTGTTCAAAAAAAAATGCGCGCGGCGCTAAAACGGGAGCCGCGTTTTGACAACAACCGACCCTCCATCCTTGAAGCGGTTACAGATTCCAAGAGATTTAGACCGCAGGCTCCCAAGATCGCCAGTACACTGTTTTATCGTGTCTGGAGCCAAGGCGATAACCTTCGATCGGCAGGGCGAAGGCGTAGGCCACCAGACGCGCTCGGAGATTCCCGAAGTAGACGCTCGTGAATGCATATTCACAGAGGACACGACAGCGTACAAGTGGCTGTCGAAGCGGCGGAAGCCTCACGGAAAGACAGAAAAGCGAAAGAGGGAAGAGAAAGGGAGGGAGGGAGACTTGAGCAAGTACGTCGACGGGACGTCGATGCGGCGATCATGCATCTGCTAACACATCACTTCTGCTTGTTAAAAGCGGCCAGAGATTTAGACCGCAGACTCCCAAGATCGCCAGTACACTGTTTTATCGTGTCTGGAGCCAAGGCGATAACCTTCGATCGGCGGGGCGAAGGCGTAGGCCACCAGACGCGCTCGGAGATTCCCAAACCCGAATGGTAAACCTGGCCGGCAGGCCGAAAACAAGCTCAAGCATTGAAACAAGGAACCTCAAGGTTTAAACCTGCTCCACAACAGAGAAGTTCGTAAGGATTCGGCAACGTCAATCATGGTGCGAGCAATTGCACGGCAGAGAGGCTTCGGATACGCGGCGGCAATTGAAGTCCAGTGTCTACCACCAGGAGCACGCCCTGCCAACTCCTGATGCGGCACTCCTGATTCACTGCAGATTCGGCCACTGGCTTTACAACGAAGACAGAGACGAGACAGGCGGCCGCTCCCCCACGCAACGATTCGCGTGGCCTTCTTCCACGGGGCCTTAAACTGGCATTGGTCAAGACGGGCTTCGACACAGTCGCGAGAGCGTCTCAGCGCAATCATGCGGGGGGCCTCCCACATAAGCGACCTGTCGGGATTTTCAACGAAAACAGGCACTCCAACCCTGCGACAGGCGTCAACAAGACGGCAGGTGGCATGAAAGGTTCTGTTACCTACCTCAAGACGCGCACGCTGAGACTGAGAAAGATCAGCACGGCCCATGGGAGTAGATGAAGAACGGAGCGGTTGCCTTAAAGCCTGCGACCAGGTAGCGCAGGGAGTGGCAAGCCACACTCCCAGCACAGCCCCCGACGCAATCCAGCCCCTCAGCATTTTCTCGACGGTGACACCCATCTGGATGTCGAGCGAAACAGCAGCGTATCCAGCCTGTCTCAGCTGGTGGCCGACTCCTTGCGAGCCGGCAAACAGGTCTAAGAAAACGCAGCGCTTGCGCCGGCGGGCAACTTGCAGTGCATGCCTGAACTCACGGCGCAGCCGACGCGCTATGCCAGCAGCGGGGCGGCAGAGTGGCGGCGGCCCACCGGCTTGCGCCTGATCGCCACGCCAGCGGGCCGCTTGCGAACCACCACTCAGCTCAAGGTGTCGAAGCTCGGCAGCCCAGCAGAGCCGCCCACGGCCAGCCTCATGACGAGCAGCCCCAGCAGGTCGGGCACGCTGTCGATCACGCCCGAGAGCAGGAAGCCACTCTCCATCAGTCGCTGGAAATGCTGCTCCACGATCTCCCCGAACTCGAAGCTGGCCAGCGGGACGAGGCTGATCTCTCGCAAGTGCTTCGACTCCTTGGCGTATCTGGCCGTAGATATCACAATCCAGAGCGCCATCCGCCCGTGCCCCAGAGCGAGAGCGATCCCCGCGATGGCGAAAATCGCAGCCCTCGGCAGCGGGCAGCGCGTGGAACTGGGCACGCGGCGCCTCCAGGCCGTGGCAGCCCTCCAGCTCTGAGCCAAGCCCGCCTTGCCGGCGCGCCTCCCCTCGGGCATGAAGTGCGACAGCGCGGCCAGCAGCTGTCTCCCCTCCGCGGCGGTGGCGCCCGCCAGCAGCTGGTCGTTGAGGTACCTCAGCACGGCGAGGTCCAGCTCCAGAATCGGGGGTCACGAGACCTGGTGGGAACGGCAGTAGTCCGTGAACCTGTTGCGCAGGCCGCGGTACAGGGTCTCGGTCGACTCCTCGACCGCAAGCCGCTCCAGGCCCGTCAGTCCCGCTATCGGCAAGCAGCTCGCCAGGAGGAGGACCCGCGCAAGGCTGGCGCGCGTGCCCGCTTGCGGGCCTCCCTCGGGGCGGCGGCCAGCACGGCGCGGCATCCGCGGCAGCAGCGCCCGTCTCGGCCGCGACGTGAAGGGTGCGATCCTTCGGCAAACGGCCGCCAGAGAACCATCCTCGGAGCCCACGAGAGTACGGATCGGACGGGTTGAGCTCTGACGGAATCCACCTCACATATACTCGAGAGCCAGAGGCCAGACTGAGAGCTGCAAGCTTACGAAGAGGACCTCTAAGGTATGCAGAACGGGCACGACCCTTCGTGGCAGCTAGGGCCAAAGGCAGGCTGTCTACCAGAGCCAACAGACGCTTCCCAAAGGCCTCCGAGCTGCGCAGAAGATGCCGAATCCCGAGTGCGAGAGCTTCACCTTCGAGGCCCAGGATATTCATGTCCTCTGAGATCTTCACGGCCGCAACTCCTGCCCAACACGACTCCTCCAAGACATCCCTGGGGACCTCATCGAAGCTGGACTCGGGCGCGTTGAGAAACTCCAGAGGCTGCAGAACGGACTCGGGCTCGTTGAGGAACTCCAGAGGCTGCGGAGCGGACGGAAGAGACGATGATGAGAAGATGACGGGGCCAAGCGCTCTCTCACGCGCTCGAGCTCCACCTTCCACACGGCACCGCCATCTTTCGGACTGGCGCCCGATCTGCGCAACAACCGCCGGCGCCACTCTGCGCCGCACAAGCCGCAGGCCAAACTCCGAGGCGTCAGAAGCGACGACCTGTGAGTGCCAGGGCGACATGAGGTCCGTCTGCAGCAGCGGAAGGAGGCAGTGGACCTGCCAGAGCTCGCGCCTCACGCTCTGCCACAGCATGATGGGCTCGCTCCCCGCCTTGGCAGCGAATGCGTAGGCGGCCTGCACCAGACACAGCGACTCACGTCTCAAAAGCGCGGCCCAGGTGACGTGGCCGAGGAGCACCTTCATGAGACTCCCACTGCACCTTCCAATGCGAAGCAGCTTCTCAATGGCGAGCCGCAGCCGCCACAGGCACTTTGGGCGAGTAGCCAGGAAGCGGCCCTCGGTCAAGCTCAGCCCCAGAAACTCCGCGTCGCGGGAGGCGGACTCCTGGTCGTGGACCACCAGGCCGAGCTGCACCAGCTGCTCCTTGACCGCCTGTGCCCTGCGGTTGGCCACCTCCGCGCACGTGTCAATCGCGAAGTAGTTGTCGACGTAGCCCGCCGCTGCCGATGGGCCGCCGCGCTTCACCTGTCGGCCAGGCTGGCCGTCCTCCACGAGGCAGCTGGGCTCGAAACCACCCAGGCTTAGGCCACGCCGAAGAACGCCCTGGCAGAGGTGAAGCGCCCAAGAGAAACCCATGGGCAGCACGCGGAGGCACGGAGTAATGGGTTCCCCCGTCCCCACTGGCAGGTCGGTCACCCCGCAGCTCAGCAAGAACCCCGCGTCCAGGCTGGGCAGAGAGAAGTGCTGCAGCATGTCGGGCGGCACCAGCATATGGTAGAAGGCGGCCTCCAGGTCGCCAAAGGAAACGTAGACCTGCTGGTCGGCCTCCAGCGCTCCGAACGCCGAAGGCGTTGGAAGACGAGTGGAAGGCGCGGGCAAGAAGTCGCAGTTGATGACCCGTGTGTCGAAGATGATCCTGAGGCGCTCGTCCTTGCGTCGCACGAAAAACAGTCCGAGGTCGCCGCCATGCCCATGCTTCCAAGTGAGCATTCCCCGACGCCAAGCCTCTCTGAGAAAGGTAGCATAGCCACGAACATTGTGCTTCAATAGCGTGTCGACGTATGCGCCCCGAGGACACGCCTCAGCGCGGAGGCCCCGAGCGGCCTGGGAGGGTCGTAGCATGTGCTCCTTCCAATCCCTGAGCCACGAGGCGTCCGAGTCCCCGAGCAGGTCAGTCAAGTACACCGGCTTGCTGGAGAGGGACGGCCAGGCGATCCTGTCGCCGTCAAAGGGAGCGACGGGCCCGCCACCACTAGTGTAGCCGGGCGCGCCAGACAGGAGCGCGCAGAGGGCTCCCTGTCCTGAACTGAGATCTGCTGGAGGAGGTCCCACGCGCCGATAGCGATGACGAAGATGCCCCAGGGCCAAGCGCTGACCCGCGTTGGGGCTGACGTCGGAGCGGGAGCCAAAACTGCCATGCAAATCATTCAACACGTCGATGCCCTCGGCCGCCCACTTGTCAGCATGAGCGGCACGAAGGCGGCGGCGGACCACGCTGCGAGAAGCAGGTCGATCGCAAAACGGCTGGTTCAGCGTCTCCAACG